CTAGCTCGATGATCAACCGCCTCATTTCGGTGTGTCTTTAGAGGTTACGCTTATTCTCAGCTGAGCCCTGCACCAAATCACTCGTCTGCCGAGACTTCCATACGTCCGCACCACTAAGGTGAGAGAGCAATTCATGTCTCTGCACGCGCAGTAGCATGTTGCGAATTTCGCTAAACATTGAATGGCTATTGGAGGTTGGGGGCAACAACCGTAAATGACCGGCGTTCACCATAAGGGAGCCACGGTAGGTAAATGTACGCTAATCGGCCTTCTTCCATCAGTCTAACCTTACACATTGCAGCTGTGGCCTTCGTTTCTGACGTCGGCTTTTCGCGCTTATGTTTTCCGTCGTAACATGGGAAGAGTTCACTGAATGACCTGTTTCTGGGATCCATTATATACATCGGTTTAACTGTTTAATCGGCGCTAATGTATTCGTCTGTGACAACCGAAGATCTGTGGCTTAAAGGCATACGATTTAATTCGCAGCTTGGTGACTGCCGTTTTGCTATGCACCAAACTTTTAGTGAACTCCTCATAGTAGTTTTCAGTTACTATAATCCAAATCCATCAGTCATTGTGCAGCGATTTAACTTCAGTACTTTAGTCTAGCGTTGGGATGCGTCAGTTGCTTTCTTCGTTGCTGACCTTCTGAAGTTCACACAATATTGTGTTTTCTGTAGCTACCGAAACGACATGATTCGGCATCCTCTGGTGGTCAGCGTGAAGAACGTTCACATGCGGCACTGCCTGTTGGCTGATAACGCATTGTGATTGGAAAGTGCTAATGATGTTGTGACTGGCATAGAGGCTGCTGAAAGTAATGCCCAGTTACTACAGAATTTACAGCTTAAATCAAACTTGTATGCTGAAGATATCATGGCGGATGACAACAGTTGATGAAAACACCACGCACTCATTCAACTGTTATCGCTGCGGCTCGCGGTACAGTCATTCCAGTGATTGCAAACGTACACAGTTTGTAACAAATGTCAAAAATGTGGACATTTGGCCCGTATGTGTCGGTCTAATACAGGTCCTTGTTCCCCGGTAGCAAGCAACAAATTTGTTGCTATTTCACCACAGGAATACATATTTAACACAACTACCCCAAGTGCACAACCGCCATTTCGCGTGTAGCTTTGTGTTAACCAGATTCCGGTGCATTTTGAAATTGTCACGGGCAGTGCAGTAACACTGTGCAACGAACGAACTTGGTCACAGAGATTGGCTCCAAAGGGCCACACCAAACTGTGTCCGGCGCCTCTGCGATTGCGTACATACACTGGTGGTAAAGTGCAACAACTTGGGGTGCAGGAGGTTGAGGTGTCATATGGAGGATGGAAAACCCCTGGGAACCATTCGCTTCGCACTCGGAGATGGTCCAAACCTACTAGGTCTCGACTGGATCACTCAACTATCAGTTCTATGGATAACACATCTTTCCTTACCATCGGAGCTACAGACACTGTTCGAATAATATGCACCAGTATTTAAGACACCGGAGGAAGCAGAATTCACCGGGGGACATTAAAATCTACATTTTACCTGGCACACACCCGCGATATATCAAGGCTCGATGGCTGCCGTATATAATGCGATAGAAGGTAGAAGAGGAACTTGCTCGCCTGCAGAAGAGCGGCGTCATAGAGCCAGTACAGTTTTCGGATTGGGCTACACCAATTGTTCCAGTACTCAAGCCTGATGCATCGATTCGTATATGTGGGGACT